TGCTGTAGCATAAGCCAGGGGAAGCAGAAAACCCCATTTAAGCTCAAACTTCATTTCTGAAGATCAAAACCACCAGAACTCAGCAGCCTGCAGGCTTTTGAAAACCCCGGCAGATAGATAATGCCTTGTGTTTCAGGAACCAAATGCTCTCAGAAATCCTGCACTAAAAGACTCATATAGATTACACAGGCAATCTGGTCGGGCAGAGCACTGAGCTTTTCTCCTCAGGGTTGCTCGCTGGCCACAGGGCCCTCCTGTCGCTCTGCAAAACCCTTCGGTCTCCGTCCTTCCTTAAGGAAAGAAGCCATAGGCAGCCCTGCAGCTCGGGCACCTGCCTGTCTTCATACGCTCTTAATAACTTTTGTACTTGGTGGCCAACTTTAGTTACAGCTGCTAGTTGTAGATGCCCCCAACGTATATACTTGTGAGAGTAGGCTGCCAGGTAGGAGCTGACTCTTTCTGTGTTTCACCCGAGGGATAAAACGCTTTATTGCGCCCAGAGAACCCAGACAGAAAGAGGTTTAAAAGCAGGCTTTAGTGGCTGCGCTAAGCACAGCACTATTTATTTTGGTTGTTTACTTCTCCCCTTATCTCTGTCACAGAAAATAGTTCAGATTTATAATCTTATATTGCTCTTCAAAGCATGTGTGTGTTTGTCATATCCTGGTGTTTCAGTGGCCTTCTTTACAACACTGAACTGGGGAAACAGAGATATTTCCTTTGCTGAATTCAAAGCCAATGGCAGTTTTGATTTTGCACTTAAAAACTCGAGATGTAATAACTTTTATTTTGCAAACCCAGCTCTTGCTTATGCTCCTGTCTGCCTCAGGTCTCGTACACGGACTACATTCAAATCGACAGAACTAAGACTTCCCTGGTGCACTGCCATTAAAATGTCAGTGAATTAATTTGTGCAAACACTTTAAAACACATAAAATAAATGCATCATTTTGTAAAGCACACTGCTGGACACAACAAAGCTTTTAGTAAAACTGAGTGCTATTTAAAGTTGCCAGACCTTATCCTTAACCGCATCGAGATGTTTCCTATCAGCCTGGCAGCATAAATATACCTTTCAAGACTGTGAACTGAAAATCCATCAAGTTTAATGTATCAAGATGATGTGTAAAGGCAAAAGTTTAAATTAGAAACAATCTCATAACAATTCCAAATATCTGTTTCTCCCATGATGTATACTTCATCACATGGGGTGGATAGCCTCTGTCATTCTTTGTGTACTTATGTACACAATTAGCAGATCAGATCAATGCTTGAAATTTGAAAGTTTTAATTAATAAACATTTCCCCAGGCTTTTTCAGAATAATGCATCCCAAGATTGCCATGTAGTGGATATGCATGAGCTCCAGTTGTTCAGATAATAGGATTAGGTCTATCTTATTAGCTGTGGTACTTGGAACTAATTCAGTGAACACTATTCCATCTTCCCTGCATATTTTTCATCTTTCATGTGGAAGTCACTAGACAAGAATTAGCTCAGCCTGGTTCTTCCAGCCAGATCTTTATTTTCTCTCAGTTGACTGCTATGGACAACCAAAATTGTTTTTAAACAAAATTTTATTCAGTATAATTGTTGCAGAAAAAGGCCAAACAATTTGAAAACACAGAGATTCTCTCTTCATACTGCAAAAGCAGAACCGAGTGAAGGTGGTCAGAGAGAGGATCTGGTTAGCTGTAAGTAGACATGGTCAACCACTGAAAGTTTAATGTTAAGCTCAAAGATAGGGTGCAAACGAAGCAAATTGACTGGGGATGTTGCTTTTCATTAAACGTTCCACTAAGGAAACTATTATCTCTGCAGTTAAATGTATTCTAATGAGGTCTGCGCTACCGCTGGAATATTGTAAAGGGTTCAGAAATGGATAAAGTTGAAAGTTCTGAATCTGCTGGTTCAGAAAATTGATAATGAAGCAGAAAGACTTTCACATCTAAACCATCACCTCTAATCTAGCCTGTTTCACTAAGGGTGCACAAGGCTCTTCAGCCTCCCATGGCTATTTGTGATTTCTGAAACCAGGAAAACTTGCTGCACCCATAAAGTAGAGCAGATGCAGGGCAGGTGGGATACTCAAAGTCCCAAGGCAAGAGGAGCTATGCTAGAGTGCTTATTTATTTATTCTGTGGAAAAGGAGATGAGACTTTAGATGTTTCACTGAAAAAGAAACTCATGGCTTGTCTTAGACAGGCCTATGTGAAATAAAAAATGAGCCTGTGTCTGCCTTTTGGATTGGGAACCACCAGATAGGTCTGTCCTGGTCCCAGAAGCTGCCATCATGGTCAGCAATTATAGGCGTTTATCAATGAGCTTGTATGGAGGTCAGGACCTCATGGTCACGAAGCTGAACTTCTCTCAGAGCTCTGTTTGCTTTCCTGAGGCACCACAGAGGGAAAAACATATCTGAGACTCTTGAATACAAGGTCTGGGCTGAAACATCAGCTTTTAGTCTCAAGAGAGTACTTCTGAGACACACAGAAAATGGGAGAAAATAAAAAACACTTTCAGGAACTCAGAAAGGTAGGAGAATCCGGATGAAGTTCAACGAGCGCTAAAGGCAATATGTTTTAGTGTGTTTTGGTAAGGACATTGTATCTTTGG